TTTTCTTTATATTGAGACATAATCCATACTGCAGACTGTATTCTTCAACCTTCATCAGTAGGTGCCTTAAGTCATCCTCACTTTCAGCAAGCAAGAAAAAAATTATTCCATGCAAATGATAACCTTAGTGGGCAGTGAGTTTATCCACTGCCGTCAAGTTGGATCTGACTCATAGCAATCCCTCCTTGGGTTCCCAAGGCAGTATCGCTATGGAAGTAGATTGCCCAACCTTCCTTCCGAGGAGCAGCTGGTGGGTTTGAACCGCCAGCCTCTAGTTAGCAGTCAAATGCCTTAGGCACTACATCATCAGAGCTCCCAAGCCACGAGAGCTCCTTTATGTTAATGAGGGAGGAACAACTCAGAGAGGGTGAGAATTGTACAACTCAAAGGATGTAATCAGTGTTACTGAACTGTACATGTAGAAACTGCTGAATTGGTATATGTTTTGTTGTGTATATTCTCAACAACAACAACAACAAAATAAACAAAATTTAGATGGGGGAAAAAAAAAACCCAAATTGGATACAGAATTATGATCAGTGTAAAAGAGCTTAAGATGCTCAAAGCTCTTTTATGACATTAAATAATAATTGGCAGCATAAAAAACTTCAAATAACCTCTAAATGGCACGTCAGTGTCAAAAACCGTAGTTCCTAATAAAAGTCACAGTTTACATCTGAATAATAACACAGGACACAAAATGTTGGCATAAAATGTAAAGTGACTATGACAGCTGGGGTTGGATCAAAGAACGTCTATCTATAAGTAATGTCTGTCCAAATGACGAAGGCAGCCTGACTCCTTCCTTTTTGTATTTCAATGCTTTCATTGAAAGTATTTTATGGATACTTTAAGGTTATTTTTTAACATCATATTTTCACAACTGGAAATGTGTTAAGGATTACATGATATATATTATACAAAGAAAATAATGTGTTCTCTGATAAAGAAGAATTAGGTATACTTTAGCATGGATGGTCAGGAGCTCTGGTGGCACTATGCTTAAAGCACCTGGCTCCTAACCAAAAAGTCAGTGGTTCAAACTCACCAGCCTCTCTGCAGGAGAAAGATGAGGCATTCTGCTTCCATGAAGATTTACAGCCTCAGAAACACTAAGGGGCAGTTCTATTCTGTCTGATAGGGTCACTAGGCATTGCAATTGACTCAATGGCAATGGGTTTGTTAGAATGGATGGACAAGTCACCACCTGAGGGAGTATATTAATATGCAGAGGGACCATCCAGCTTGGAAAGGCATAGGGTAACTTTTTTTTTTTTTGTAATGACATTTAATTTATTTAAAAATATCATTTTAAAAGAATTTCATATTAGAAGAGGATGGGAGAATTTTATGTTTATCAAAAAGAGAAATGGGTTACAAATATGGAGAAATGCTACTTTAAGGAACACTGGGTCCCATTATAAGAATCCCTGGTCATGCAGTGATTAAGCACTTGGCTGCTAACCAAAAGGTTGGCAGTTTGAGCCCACCAGTCAATCCATGCAAGAAAGATATGGCAGTCTATAGATTCCTTCCAAATCCATTGATACTAAATTGATTCTGACTCTTAGCAACCCTATTCACAGCAACCATATAGTATGGAGTAGAACTGCCCTGTAGGGTTTCCAGAGTTGTAATCTTTCCGGAAGCAGACTGCTTAAGCCAAGTGCTTAACCACTGTGCCATCAGATCTTCTTCTATAAAGGTTTTGTTAGTTGTAAGGTGCTGTTCAGTCCAACCCATAATGACCTTATGTACAGCAGAAGAAAACACTGCCACGTCCTGCACAAGCCTCACAATCGTCACTATGTTTGAACCCATTGTAAAGATGACAGCCTTGGAAACTCTATGGGGCAGTGTGACTCTGTCCTATAGGGTCGCTATGAGTTAGAATCAAATCTATGGCAATTGGGAACGGGGGTCACCTTATCTAAGAAATGGACACTGTATATTCATGCTCAATGCCCAGGTTTGGGCATCACTTTACTCTTTCAAAGGAGCTCTGGTGGTCTAGTGCCTAAGCCATCTGACTGCTAACCAGAAGGTTGGTGGTTCAGACCCACCAGCCACTTCTCAGAAGGAAGGTTGGGCAATCTACTTCCATAGTGATACTGCCTGGGAAACGCAAGGAGGGGGTGCTATGAGTCAGATCCAACTCGATGTCAGTGGGTTGGGTTACTCTTTCAAACTATTCATGAGGAGATCTGGTGGCATAGTGCCTAAGGCATTTGACTGCTAACCAGAAGGCTGGTGGTTCAAAACCCCCAGCCACTCTTCGAAAGGAAGGTTGGGCAATCTACTTTTGTAGAAATACCACCTCAGAAACCCAAGGAGGGGTTGTTATGAGTTGGATTTGACTCGATGGCAGTGAGTTTGTTTTTCTTTTTTTAATGATTGCAGTGCCCACTTTCATGATCTACCTTAATTTATGTATTATGGTTTTGGTATTGCTCTTACTGTAGGTTGGAATATGACCCTCAATTTTCAGCATTATTTATATGGTAAAATACCATCTTACTTAAGATGATGAAGATATACTTTCAAAAACAAAACAGGACAGCAAAACAGCATGGGTTTAAGAGAATGAGAGTTAATGAGGAAGAAATACTGAGTTTCTGTTTGAGATGATTTAAAACATTTGGAAATGGATAGTGGTGATGGCACAACATGATAAATTTAATAAATGTCACTGAACTGGATAATTAATAGGGTTAAGATGGCAAGCTTTTTGTTATTTTATTCACTACAGTAGATTAAAAACATAACAGAAAAGCATGGGCTCCTATCTACAGCAAGATTAACCATATGGTCAGAATTTCACCAGGCAGCCTCTAGGTGGCAGTACAACCATACCAATCGTAGAGACTATTTTGTGTCTCAGGAAGGCACATTTTTGTTAAAAGTTTTGGAGATATATCCTAAAAGCAGTCTGTCATGAAACAAACCTGATGAGGCAAATTCTGTATTCCCTTTTCCTGGCTTTCCACCATTATTCTCATCCTCCTGACTGACTGGTTGAGATTCCTCAGTGGTTGCCTGAAAAAGAGAATTTTCTCCCTTAAATAAATTGTCCCTCTCAAAAAAGTTTTTAAAAGGTAAAACTTTTCTATTTTGATAGAAAGTTTTAGGTCTACACAGTAGATTTCCCACATTAATTTATTCTTAAAATGTTGATGAATATATATATTTCAGTACTCTAAAATATCCCACAACTATGTATTGCTTCTTAAAATCAATATAATTTTATGGTCTTTAACTGAGACCTAAATGACTCCAGAATCCAAAATTTTCCCACTGATATTACAGTAGATGTTTGATACAAGTGAATAAATGGTTGAAAGAAAACAAGTTAATCAATATCGTGTTTTTTTTGCAGAAGTTTCCTGTTGTGAAAGGGCTAAAGTTGATCTTTGTCTTATTGTGCATAAAAATTTAAAAGGAAGGCTAAAATTGGTTTCCAAGTAAAAGTATTATTAAATACTTTATAAAATATCTCCAAGTTCCTCTAAAAACTATGTATTTATTGATTTGCATTAAAGTGTGTATTTTCCCCCAATAAATCAAAATTTGTCTTGTAAATACATCAAATGAAAACCTTTTAAAGTTAATGCATTGGTTGAAATTGTCATTAAATTCTTAAAAAAACAGAGAAACTTTAAGCAATATATTTTTCAAGCTTCTGAAAGATTTCACAATGGCATCCAGATGCAAAAATGTCATTTTTCCCCTGGAGCATGGGGTCATTTTGAAGTCCTCTAGGTAGATAGGCATTTTCTAGTGATAGACAAGTGTGTATCAATTCAAGAAGAATACAATATTAAATTAAAATGCACTTTTAAAACCTTAGGCAGAAAATAAGCATAACATTTATATTAGTTAATTTTTTTAAAAAGTTTTTAATATATCAATAAGCCTGGGCTGAATGCCTTTTAGAGACTTAATTATAGGCAATAGCTAAGCAAACCAAAGTCTCTTTGGTTTCACATACACACACACACACACTCACACTCACATGTATCACTTTTTTTTCAATTGTGCAGTGCAATGAAGCCATACTTGGTATGGCTTTTCTAGCCATAGTCTTTGTAACTCCCACTGGATTACTGGGAGGACCATGCAAATAAGGTGTGTAGAACTCTGATGTTGGGATTGGTTAGTTTTGTCACTCTGACAGGCTTAAAATGAGCTTTCCCAGAGGCAGAAGGGGGATCTCATACCATCAAGGAAGAAGAGTTGAAGGTGAAGTAGAGTACATCCTTGGACTTGAGATCCCTGCACTGGACCTCTTTGGCAGAGATGTGTGGCAGAGAGAGATGCATGGGAGAGAGTGATGCATGGCAGAGAGAGATGCCCCAGCAGAGAGAGACACCCCAGCAGAGAAAGATGCCCTGGCAGAGAGACACCTCCACAGAGAGCAATCAAGAGGCACAACACAGAGGAGCAGGCTTACCTGGCCCACAGGGTGAGAAAACTGAGTACCCTTGGACAGGAGCCTTGCCGGTGGAGTGAGGTACATCTAGATGTGTCTATTGGTAGAGCTAAAACAGCTTTGTAACACTTGCCCAAGCAGGGCAGAGGGCAGGCCAAGGGCCAGAGAGGTGTGCCTGAGGGCACTGCAGAGGAGAGGCTGTCCTGATCGAAGAACTGTATCCTGAGTAGGTTTCTGAACCTGAATTGTAGCCTATTACTTCCCTAATAAACCTCATGTTCACGAGTATTGTCTGTGAGTTCTGTGAGGCCACTGCAATGAATTATCAAACCCAGGAGAGAAGTAGTGAGTGCTGTAGGAGGGACAGTTGGTGTCAGAATTGGTACAAGGCTGGAGGGTGGCAGTATTTCTGGCCTCATAAGAATAAGCCTCGCACTGCTGATGATGTTTCTGTCTTCCTCTTGTGAGGTTAAGGGAGGTCAGAAGATGCCACCTTCATGTCCTTTTTGCAATTGTTAGATGAACAATGGACATGTAGGAGCATTTGAAGATCAACCAGTTTAACATTACAAAATAGTATGATGGGTTTTATAATTTAAAGTGCTTCCCCTTCCCCATCTAGAAATGTTAACACATGATAGTATTTTTACTTTATGACCCTAATATATAAAATGCTGGCAGAAATACTGATTTTTAGTCCCCCCCCCCCCAAATGCAATTATAGGAACTATCTAAGGTTGGAAAACAACTTTGGAGTTAAATATTGATGAATGGTGCTCTTGAGAAGACCGGTGTTTCCAATTACTAGGAATAAAATAACTACAGAAACAGGGCCGAAGAACCCCTCTTGTCCAGAATTGAACAAAAGAAATAAACTTATTTTATTAAATCTGAGATGCTACCAATTTAAGTTGTATTATTTTATATACTACTAAGAAAGATACCATTGGCCATAAGGCATATCCTGATTTAGAGATGTTAAAACGTGAAAAACATGACATTAGAAATCAATTAAATGAGGTAATTCATGAGAACCTTTAGAAATAATATATAATGTAAAGGAGACATGATCCACAAGCATTCTTGTAATCCACTAGTTCATTAAGGAGTATTTTACTAGCATACCATGTTCTAGTAATACATTACCCATGCATGCCTAATGGCCAACTAACTTCCAGTCTCAAAACTTCTCACATTTCTGAATATATTTCTCTGTGGCTTGAACACTAAGCACAAGGATGACCATTTATCTTACCTTGAAATGATGCCTTAAAGGATGCTGGTATTGGATATGGTCAAATGATAATAACAACAGCAACTGAGTGGTAACCACCACCAATATTTACTGAATTACACAGGTTATCTCATTTAATCTGAAGAGCTGGTTTACAAGATGGGTACCAATATTACTTCCCTTATACAAGTGATCTGGGTCTCTGGGTGGTACAAATAGTTAATGCATTTTGGGTTAACTGAAAAGTTAGAAGTTCGAGTGTACCAGAGGGGCCCCAGAAGAAAGGCCTTCAAAAAAATCAGCCATTGAAAACCCTGTGGAGCACAGTTCTACTCTTACATACGTGAGGTCACTATGAGTCAAAATCTTACACAGGTGAGGAAACTGAGGCCTGAGAGGTTTCGTGACCTGCCCAGGCCTAATCTGCTAGTAAACAGGAGAGATATGAACCCTGCCCCATACTGGTAGTCTGAATGTTCCATCATCAGACCTTACAGTCACACCCACTTTAGATGTCTCTAGGCATCTAAAGGTCTCCATGGTAAGAACCCACCTAGGACCTTAAAGTCTCAAGATTATCGCTGTGCAGTACAGTGAATTATTTCATATGGCCCTTTTAGCCATGCCTGGTCTCGTAACTCCCACATAGCAATTTGGTGGGATTATGTAAATAAGGTGCTTGTGGCTCAACAAGGGGATTGGACAACTTGCTGACAATGAATATGAGGCGCATGGTATCTTGGTGGGGATCCAAACCAAAACCAAACTCACTGCTGTTGAGTCAGTTTGAACTCATAGCAAGCCCTCTTTGGGTTTCCAAGGTGGTATTGCTATGGAAGTGGATTGCCCAGTCTTCCTTCTGATGAGTGGCTGGTGGGTTTGAACCACCAGCCTTCTGGGGCTATTGTTGTTGTTATGTGCTGTTGAGTCAAACCCGATTCAGCAACCCCTCCTTGGGTTTCCAAGGCGTTATCACTATGGAAGTAGATTGCCCAACCTTCCTTCTGAGGACTGGCTGGTGGGTTTGAACTACCAGCCTTCTGGTTAGCAGTCAAATGCCTTAGGCCCTATGCTACCAGAGCTCCCTTCTGGGGCCAGGACCATGTAAAGAAGGTATATGGAATCCTAATAAGGGGATTGGTCAGTTTTGCAATCTCACTAGGCTTAAAATGAGGTATCCCAGAGGTAGAAAGGTGGATCTCACTGCCACCAAGAAAGAAGAGCCAGGAGTGGAACTTGTCCTGTGGATGTGGGTTCCCTATGATGAGATGCTCCTAGACCCAGGAGACAGGAAGAGCTCTTATACCAGAGATGGTGTGAGACAGTGAGAAGGAACAGCACAGAAATGGCAGTAACAGAACCAGGAGACTGCCGTGAGACAGTGTGGTGGGCTTCCTGGCTCACAGAGCAACACAGCTACAGTAGGTGTGCTGACCCACAAAGCAAGAGAGCTGAGTACTTTTGGGCAGGAGGCTTTCTGCTTGAGTGAGGTGCCTCCAGGAACTCGATGGAGCTAGGCTTGTTGACCCTAGGAGTGAGAAAGCTGAGGGCCTTAGGGCCAGTGCTTACTGGAGGAGTGGGGTGCCCCTGGGCACTTACTGGTGGAACTAGGGAGCTTTTGAACACTTGGCAGAGCACAGAAGAGGCCTGATGGCACAAGAGGCCCAAGAGGCTGAGAAGAGGCAGGTCCTGACTGAAGAACTGTATCCTGAGTCATTCCTCATCCTGAATTGTAACCTGTTACTTCCCTAATAAGGGAGCTCTGGTGGCGTAATGCCTAAGGCATTTGACTGCTAACCAGAAGGCTGGTGGTTTGAACCCACTAGCTACACCTCGGAAGGAAAGCTGGGCAATCTACTTCCATAGTGATATCATCTCAGAAACCGAAGGAGGGGTTGCTATGACTCAGGTCCGACTCGACGGCAGTGTGTTTAGTTTTGGTTTGGTACTTCTGTAATAAGCTCCGTAATTGTGAGTATTGTCTGTGAGTTTTGTGTGACCACTGCAATGAATTATCAAACCCAGCAGAGAAGTAGGGAGCGCTGTGGGAGGGGCAGCTGGTGTCGGAATTGGTAGAAAGGGTGGAGGATGGAGGTACGTCTGACTTTCACTTCATAGGAATCAGCCTTGGGCTGATGCTGCTGGTGATTCACTTCTCTTTCCCTTGTGATGTTATATAAGGAGGTTGGACAATGCCAAGTCATCATTTTTGCATACTGATATGAATTAGACTGCCTTTTTCATTCCTTGTCCCTCTTGTACCTTTGATCCATTTATTCCAGAAAAGATGGGAACACCTTGGAGTCTTTTAGCAAAGGAAGCAGCTTAGCTAAGTCTCCACTCTCCACTTGCCAAGGTGGCTCAGCACCAGAT